ATACATACATGAATGTGATGTAAGAACGTATGAAAAAGAATGCAGTAATATGTTGACCACACTGTCTGATATATCCAATACCAACGAGGCCTTTCATCCAGTACAAGGGCTCATCAGGCCTGCTGGGATTTAAGATACAACATAAATAGTAGTGATTGAGATGCCATTTATTTTATCAATCCGTGAACTGTAATGTTTCTATCTGGACTACATTAAGTTGGTGATGTGTAATTTTTATCAATTTGATTAATGTTATTACATATCAAAATTAGGTGCATTATTTTCATTAACATCAAATTATTTAATCAGAAGAACTGGCGAACCAGTAAGCTGATCCTTCTGATGTAAGAGTGGATAAATGATTGCAATGTCACTGAGAGAAGGCTAAATTAATAATTATAAAAACTTATGAATGAAAGTAAAGAAGAATGTTATAATATTTCACTCACACCACATCTGCTATATCCATAATCCAGTGCTGAGTAGGCCTTTTGCCTAATATCTGGGCACAACAGGCTGGTTGGGATAGATAGACACAGTAATTGTTTAGATGCTATTAATATTATCGATTGTTTGAACAACAACTGTTAGATGACAAGTTTATCAGGCAAATAAAGAAATATTGAGATATCTCATATGTGGGTTGTTTAATAAAGACTGGAGTGACAAACTGAAATTACATTGAGAAATCAGAAGTGTTCTATGTTGTTTTTTAATGCAGGGCAAGATTTTTGTTTAGGGCAGAATATGTAGTGTTTTTCTGTTCTTGTACTGTGTAGCGGTGCATTCATTCTTTGATTTGTTTTGGTCCTGTGTAAACATCTTTGATGGTAATCATTAAAAACGAAGTTCATGTTAATTACATTTACTTGTAGTGTTATGACATAACATTTGTGCTGGTTACACACTATCTGGGCTCATCAGGCTGGTTGAGAATTACAAACAGTAATTGTTGAGATGTTATTAATATTATCAAGTGCTTAAACAACAATTGATAGATGACAAGTTTTCAGGCAAATAAAGAAATATTGAGATATCTCAGATGTGGATTGTTTAATAAAGACTCAAGTGACAAAGTGAAACCACACTGAGAAATCAGAAGTGTTCAAAGGTTTTTTAATGCAAGGAAAGAATATTTTGGGTGAAATGTGTAGTGTTTTTCTGACCTTGTAGTATGCAGTGGTGCATTTATTCTCTGATTTGTTCTTGTCCTGTATAAACTTCTTTGACAATCAATAAGAATGAAGTTCATGTTAACAACATTTATTTGTGGTGTTATGGCATAACATTTGTGCTGATTACACAAAATAATTCTAAATTTTGTCACTATATTGAGGTCACACCTGTTTTACTCATTTGAGGCAAGAACGTTGACAGCCAGTGCCCTTCAATAATAAGACAAGTGATATGTCATGGCTGTGGACTCCTCTATAGTTGGTCATTGAAGAAGGACAATTGCATGACAGAGTTGTCAAGTCTATGAGAAGCCTTTTCTGGAAATTGGACTTTTGCCAATCCGGTGAAGATCCATGGCTTCTACTGACTATGGCAGCCACTTACTATGGAAGTAAAGCTGCCAATGTCTAGTGTACCCAGAATGGCTGTTCATTCTCTCCCCTTGAGGATCAACCTCAGTATAAGGAAAACATGGATGACTGAGAATCGTCATAGTGGTGTGGCATTTGAATGAGCAAAGTTATACCAATTCCATGGTTTACATTCTGCAGCCTATGCTGATGATTCCTTCACACATTTGCCCTTACATCATCAACTAAGAAGATAACCTATCAGTTTTGACTGATAGTTCAATAAATGTAGGATAGCCAACAACAGGTGATGTTTAATGCCACAACATCCTGGGAAACTAATGGAGTCCAATTCAGCCCTAAGCACTGATTTAGAGGAGTTTCACAGACAGCAGCAAAATGTTTGTTGGTCAGCTCACCTTCCTGAATGGGTTTTGGATTGAGCCTGTTAGAATACAAGAGCATAGATAAAGTTCATAGTTAATACAGGAGTGGCCAGAATGCTGGTAGGTCTTGCTGTATATCAGGCATTCCAAACAAAACCACCACTCTGACCAATCGACACAAACTTTGGTCTGGCAAATACAGATATACCAGACATTAATCGAGGGTGACTCTCTGACTATGCTTAGGAGGCATCACTTACAGAATGAAGGTAGTCATCCTTGACCTTGGTTCTTACATTGGCATCCTTGAAATGGTTGTACTTCAGAACTTATCAGACATTTTTGAAACAGGAACTGATATTTTGTGGGTGCTATCCAATGTTAGCTAGGAATAATGGACTGCATAAACGTATGTGGAAGATGAAGTGACAGCATCTTTTGTACACAAGTAGTGTTCCATGGTTTGCTACAGATGCATCAGCTCTGCGTAATGCTTTTATACAGCCCATACATTAAATAAATTGTTTCCTGACTAGAAAGCAAGTATCATTAGCTTGGTCAGTTATCTGTTACGAGAGAATGAAGTCTTGGTGTAATTCTACAGTTATGGATGATCAGTTATCCAGCTTCATGCTGGAATAGTCATCAGCATGGTGAGTGAAGTAGAAGTAACTGAGGCTTGTGGTAACTAAGGTTGCACCTATTGCACCACATCCAACAGTAAGAAAATGGTTATCAACACATTCTGAGATCATTATTTGAGGATTGTGCATAAAACATAAACTGAACACAGTGGCTGATTCACAGGAACCTGATGATTGAATATGCTGATGAACCTGTATAACCAGATGCCAATTGGGGTCAAACAACAATCCACAGCATCACATAGATACATTCCAATTAAACAACTGCCTCACAGACTTCCATGTAATTCTAGCAACTTAAACAGTGCTATGGTGCAGAGGATGTTATAGGATGGGATCATACAACCTACAGAGAATGTTTGTTTGTCTCCAGTAGTGATTATCAGAAAGAAGAGGGTACACCCAAGTTCTGTTTATTTTAATATGGGCAAACATGGTAACTCGCATTGATGCTTTTCCACTACTGTAAACAGATGAATATCTGGATGTATTGGAAGGGGTTTAATTGTTCTTTATGTTAGATATAGTACTTTGATACTAGCAAGTTGAGCTAGATAATGAAATCAAATCTAAATAAAACTGCTTTCAGCACAAGAGATGGAATCTTTGAGTTCCACATCATTTCATTCTGCCTGTGTAACATGCCCAACATGCCAATGGAGCTGATGTCAAAGGGGCTTCAGTGGGAGAAGTGCCTGATTTATGTTGACAGTGTCTTTGTATTTGGATGCATGTTCAAGTCTGTGGCTAAGAAGACAAGAAATACAGGCTAGAAACTATGAAAATGTGTATTAATGTATAAAGAAGTGGAATTTTGGGTCATATTATAGGTAGAGATGGAATATCCATGGTTCCTGCTAAAAATAGCAGCAGTGGGAGATTGACCTCAACCTTTGACCAAGCAAGAAGTGTTACGGGAATGGTAACCATGGACAGCACAGCCATACTTATTGGTCAAGCAAAGCCTTGGGATTGATATGCACTTTAGAGATACATCTCCTGTGAGTGAATATGGCATAAGCACATGTATAGTCTGTAGAAATGTCATCTGGCCAAGTTAATACATTAAGTACACTATTTCTAAAGGTAGTTTTAGAGCATAATAGGGTTTTAAATAGGCAGTTACGACCCTCTTCACAATCTACACACCTAGCTGACATTCCGACCAATTAGAATTCATCTGACCTTACATTTTCATTCTGAAATTTTGCTACTTAAGACTGATTTTATGATCACCTGGCTATCTTTTTTTTCAACCAGCCAAGTGACCATTCTCTTGTGTGCTGAAGCCTCCAATTTGTTTTGAACTGCCATGGAAGGAAGTGATGACCACCACTACACCATCTGGCAATGAGCTGGACTTCTCCACCAACTCAAAGATTTTTGGAACAAGCCTAAATTGTAACTCAGTAGAGCCCATGGATAAAGATGTGTTGCTGGCTGATACATCAGACATGCAGCATCTTGCTGCTTATATGTAGCCTGCAAACAGCCCATCCATAATTACCAATGGAAACAGCTACCACTCTTAAAAAAAAAAGGGAATCGTGGTGGATGTCTCAGCATTGGGAGCCTCACTTGAAATTTACTGTTGGAGAGTTTTGAATACTGCCCAGCAAAGGACAACTACATCTCCAAGTCCTAGGAGATTTTTCCAGAGTTGAAGTTTCCTCGGGGGAGTAATTTAATTATGGAGAGACAGGAATAAGCCCTCCATCAGTACTTAACTGATACTCACCACCACCACTATAGTAAAACTCTGACGGCCCCAACCATTGAAGGATGTACGAACAGCCCCAAGGACAGTTTGGCTGTGAAGGACTCACCACAAGTCACACCACCACCAACACTAACTACAAGGACCTTTTGCATCAGCAAGGGTAAATTAACCACCTCAGTTGGTTTTGAGTTGCCCCCGGACTCGTGGATCAGCATAAAGAAAAAGGCCTCTTCATTGATGGTGGCCAAGCTATTAACATCTAACAGGTCCTAAGAGACAGCCCAGCAGCAGCCACAGGAAGACCTTCCTGCAGCACCAACCCACACTACAGTAGATTCCTATCATCAAGCAGTATTTTCAAGTGATGACCACCTGTTAGACTGAGACCTGGTTCTCCTATAACAAGAAAGAGAACCAGCTGCATTGTAGAGTTATGTCTCTATTATGACACAAAAAGTGAAGTATGTTGCATGCAGACTAAGATAATAGATACAAAAACCTTGGCCAACACCCAAGACACCATGCCTCCAGTCACCACAAAACTGCCATGCTGGAGGATATGTTCATGGGGTTGAAGTACTGGTAAGGAAGTTGAACTTGTGCTTGTGTTGGGTAAGTCTGTACATATTGTATATGTAGCTCTGTATTTTTTATTTTCTTTATTATATATATATATATATAATAATGTTTCATTTAATTCAGTGTTGTATACGTGAACCTTTTCACTACAGTCATAGGTTTTTTTATTTAATATACGTTTAGACGTTTATTTCATTTTTTGGTTGTTCACAATAACACATATTTTATGATGCCTACTCTGTATTATGTTATAGTTGTAATTATGGTTTATTTTATTTTGTACTTTATGGATATTTTTAAAGAATTATATTTTGATCTTTGTAAAGAGACTTGATTTTATCTAACTTCAATGTTGCAAGGTTTATCGTAATTTTTGTTTTATTCTGTTGAAAGGGTCATTTCTGATGTATAATAGTGTAATTAATTATTTTAAATCTTTGTGAAATTATCTTCCTTTTTATATTAATCTTTATGTTCAAAGATGTATTTTGTAGGTTTTTGCATTTTGTATAAATGTATATTTTACTTTGAGTGTTTGACTAAGGGCTGTTTTAAACATGCTATATGTATTTCATCACTAAAGGGTTTATTTTTGTATGTGGCTTCAATTTGTAGAATTATTATATTACATAATTATTATAAATTCTTTGTTACATGGTATGTATCATGTACTAGTAAGTTGTTGTATATTTATGTTTAATGATTTTTTTATGCAAGTTAGTCATTGATAAAGGTTTAATTATTATTTAATTATAGCTCTTTTTTTAAAGGGTTTGTGAAAATCTATGTTGTGCATAGACATGTTTGTTTACATGAGTGGGAGAAGGTTACTGTACTGTGCTTTTGTAAAGTTTATTGGTTTTAAGATTCAAATTAATTTTGGGCTTGAGATCAAGCTTGAAGTAAGGGAGAGAGAAAAAGTATAGTATATAAACATACCATGTGTTTTTTACCTTCTTATATTCAGATAGAGTTTTGATCTAGTGTGATCTGATCAGCTAGATCAGCTGTTTATGTTTTGTGTTATAATATAAATTGTGCTTTTGTATTTTACATTGTGCCTTGTCTCTATTTTATCCATGCAAACTTTATTTCTCATGTCATAATAGTTCCACTCCCATACTTGTCTTCTGGTTATCACCATCAATGTTACTATCAAATATTTGCTTATTGCAGCATGACCCATGTCTGCTTCTATGTTCTGGACTTTGATTGACAGTAAGTGAACAGTTGGGTAAAATCCTTTAATGCCACTGAATGCTTTAAATTTATTTCACTATTGTATGATACAAAATTAGTGTCAAAATGATGGGAATATTATTTTCACACATCAAGTGTAGAAATCTTATTGTGATTTATGAAACTCATCTGTGTTTACCTAAGTATCTAAGTAGTTTATCTCCATACCGTCTCTGCTTTTGTGGAATGCTAAATTATTCAATTGCATTGTAATTATAAAATGTTTTAAAAGTGAAATTTTTTAAAACAGTTTCTCTGTCCATTAAGTACAATACATAAGTATAATCTCAGTGAGTATTTTTTATTTTATAATTGTTATGGTATGGTAAAACATGCCAATACCTTACTTATATGTAAAACTTTTTACAGTGTATTTGTTGTTAAAGACAGAGCTACACTATGAGCTATCTGTGTTCTACCTACTGTGGGTATCAAAACCCGATTATTAATATTATAAGAGCTGAGACTTAATGCTGAGCCAATGGGAAGCATTTTACAGTGTAAATGGTGATAAACACATGATAAAACCTATTTTTATCTAAACATTTTAAGCTTTGGTTTCCCTGTATTATTGATTAAAGCAAATTACACAAATACAGAAGTTCATGTGATCTTTTTATTCAAACTTATAGTCCAGTCTAAAGCCTGATGAACATGTTTTGAAAGATAAGGTTGATAAAAAATTCTCCATCTCATCAACTGGAGCAAGTAGTGTTCAGTGGAGGTAGGTTCAATTATAAATTGTAATATTTATAACTATCACCAACATACTATTTTCTAGTACCTATAACAAGTTTTCTAGAAAGTGAACATTAATTGTAACAAAACTACTATATATTTAACTGAATAACAATGGATAATTAATTATGACAGAACGTCATGTTATCCAAACATCTAAACATGGGTGTCTGCAGGATATATTACAAAGAGATGCAAGATGACAAAATGGTATCAAAGCTATAACTATGGAAACACAAACTTGATAATCGGGGGGGGGGGGCAAATGCCCCATCCTTGTGGGTACCCATTCACTCACCTAAAGTACTTTAACTGTTTAAACCCATAATTTTTTTTGTGTTCTGGATTTATTTTCATGCTTTCCTAATAACTATCACCATACCTTATAAAATTTCAATATTCTTAATTTTATGGATAATAACATGGTTTTGATTAGTTTTCAGCTAAAGAGACAAATGTAATCGGATGTTGTCACCATCTGGTGGATAAATTAGGATTTTTGGCCGGACACTGGTAGTGTCTGATTGAATTTAAGGAGTTAAGTTATTAGTGATGAGTAAAGGACTGTACTTTAAAACCAAATATTAATTATAGTAAACTTTATCAGCTATATACTGTAACCTGATTTATAAATTAGTGAACTTTATTGACACAAAAAAAATGAAATGCTGTCATTTCACACTTTGGTTTGTGAATATTAATTATTGAACAATAAATAGAAAAATATTATTGGACTATTTTATACCTTATAATTATAAACAGAAAAATATGTTCAGATGAAAATTTAAATTTCTGTAAAAACTATAAATTTTACTATTTGCAAAATTTCAATATACATCAGAGCAGTAATAACTGTAAGAAACTCTGCTATTGTTGTTTATATTTGATATCAGAGGAGATGTAGAAGTATTCGAAGAAACAGAAGTTTTTGAAGATGAAGGTGTGGGTGAACAGCTACAAACTTATTCCAAACAAGAAGCATCTCAGTTAGAGCAGAATCAAAGACAGTTCTATGAAAAAAACAAACAACTTTTTGTAGAAGAAGACAGGAAACAGTTAGAAGAAAACAAAGCCCTGGAAAGGCATAGGAAAATTGGCCACATTTCAATAGAAGGTTTATCATTAGGGAAAGGCAGACTAGAAAAAAAGGGTATGGATGGGTTGAATTTTTTACTATTTAAATATGGAGTTATAATAAAACTACAGAATAAAGGTTGAAAATAAAATCAACATTGCAAAGTACAGAAGCCTCAAAATATTGAAGGTTTTCCTGATGAGGATTCAAATTAAGAAACCAGTTTAGAGAATGTCAAAAATAAACTTATTTAATGTATTACTTATGATAAACAAAGATTAGAAATGAAATTTTGCATAATGTTATTAATTTCACTTGGTTACAATATTCAAAGAAAAGACTCACATAGATATTTTTACTGATTAATGTATCCATTTCTAATTAATAACATATATAAAAATTAGAGTATTTTACCTATTCAATCCCTTAAGCTATAACTAGCAACCTTTGTAATGAGAGAACCTTAAACACCTGATTTATATGGTGGATGGTCAGGGACCTACAAATCATATGATTAACAAACCTATGCTCATAGGATCCTTAATCAGAACTCAAAAACTTATTGGTTAAGTAACAACGTTAGAAAGGTCACTAGAGCAATTGATTAAAGTACTGTCACTAGGAGGGTATAAAATTAGTTTTGGATTGATAAATCAAATTCTTAAAATATTGTTATTAGAGGGGTTGTTAATCAGAACCTGTAGCTCAGATGGTTAAAGTATCTTCGTTAAAAAGGTCACTAGTTAGGACTTAAACGACCAACTGGTAAAGCATAATTTTTAGAAAGGTCATTAGTAAAGGTTTGTGACACTGCATAGATAAAATACTGTTATAAGAAGGGTCAGGGTCATTAGTCAGGGCTTGATAGATAAGATGGTTAAAGTACTTTCATTAGAAGAGTAATTAGTTAGTACTTGAGAGAAGGAGTTATAATTTGTTGTAATTTGAAGGGTTATTAATAAGGACTTAATAGGTGTAATCATTATAATATTATTTTAAGGAGAGTCATTACACACAAATGGCAAACCATGAGCAGTGTTCCTATTTAACAATCACCCATCTCATGAGAGTGAATGAACAACTTGATCTATTGGGAACTGATCAATAATAGTATAACAAGGGTATTTAACCGTTAGTTGGGTTGGCAAATGCAAATTCATAAGTTAAAGTACTCTCATTAGAAGAGTTGTCAGTTTCAGCTCGATAGATTGGGTAAATGAGCTGCACTTGTCAATCAGAACTCAATAATCAAGTTGTTTAATTACTCTTATAAGATGAGTGGTTATTCAGTGCTAGAAAAACTGGGCATTTAAAGTACCCTTAGCAAAATAAATATTATTACGATAGCGGAAGTCGCATGATGCTGGGAGCATCCGCACTAGAGTTTCTGGAAGGATCATGGATTTTCCTGGCAACTCTAGTTTGTTCCAGGCACCCTCTTTTTTTAGTATATAAGC